CTCTCCTACATATTCCAATTCCAACCATCCTCGGAGTGACGGTTATAAAGATCCCACCGAACTAGTCCCCTCTAATCCCGTCGCATGCACGGCTAGAACCCAACGACGTAATTCCCCCGAGGGGGGTATCACCATTGATCTGAAACAAAAAAGAAAATATTTTCAGAAGGAACAGGTCCAGCGGTGCTAATGGAGGGATAGATCAATCGAACAGCTGAATCGCTCACTCGAATTTATGAAAATTTCAGACGTTTTTAGGGTCTGAAAATTTCAGACGTTTTTAGGGTCAGGTTAGGGTCTATTCGGTCTCACCAAATGTTCATTCGTTAATAGTTAACGAACGTATATTTCAGTAGCGAAGTGGTAAAACGGTTTCAGTTGATTTTGACTATTCGTCAGTTTTCAATGAATATCTCGTAATCCAAGGCAGATAGCCAAATTTTTGTTATGACCTTTTCTGTAGAGCAAATTGAGAGCTGCAAAAAAGATATGAACGAAAATTTCGCTATCTCCCTTAGATTCGGAGATATTCCTCGAAAACTCAGCTGAGAGATCAGTCGACTTGAAGCGTTTTACCACTTCGCTACTGATTTGAGGAGCCTTGTTTGACTTGACTTGCGCCATTCAAGTGAACCATTCGTTAACTATTAACGAATATTCATTTGGTCATATTCAACTCTACCATTCGTTAATAGTTAACGAATCTCGTTTGGAATAAATCAATCATTCTATCACTGTAACGAAAAGCAATAGAATCTAATGAATGTCAAATCTTTAAAGCTACACTCGGTGAAACGGGTCTGAGTGGGAAACCCCGGTGAGATTAGTTTGTTTTATACCCCACAATAAAGTGGGTTTAGGTACCACATTACCTCTTTTCTGAAAAGTAGACCGTGTAATAACGAGAAAGAGCAGCCAGAGTCGTCTCTACGGTATTATTTTTAGCGTGACTGAGACATCTTTAGACATACATCCAGAAATAATTACTCTAATTTGTTTTCTGGGTGTCCAATATTTTTGTCAATGTCATTGGGTATTGGGAGAAAATGTATAACGGAAGATTCAGTAGTTTTGACAATTAAATGAATAGAGGTGAAGATATTCGGCGCGAAATCGATGGATTTGATAGTAAAATGGTAAAACGTACACTTATAATTTCCACGGAACAAATCATAATTTGAAGAGTAAACAACAATTTTGTTATTGGCAAAACAAAATAATTTCGAAGGGACAATTTTTCTGGGAAAAAAATATTCTTTCCTCGTCAATGTATTCTTTCTGTGGTATAAACTTATGGAGTTCTTTCAGATCAAATAATTGTCGTACAATGGATTATATTTTTTCCTGCCAACCATTCGAATTTTTCTAGGGATATTTCCGATGATCACGACAAAAATTTAATTTTTGTGAAAGATACACGGAGAGAAATTTTTGTTAAAAAATATCCTACCGTTCTGTAAAAGTGTATCATGAGTCATCGTTTCCTCATTTCTATCCCGAAATTTAGTAAAAATTAGTATATGATGATCAAATTTGGTTCTACGTTGGAGAAATTTTATCCTGACGCATAATAAATTTTACCCTTCCAGTCCAATAATTTTTATGTAGATAACAGCGAAAATTCTAGAACGTTTGTTAAATTTTACCCTAGCGAGTAATTTTGACTCTACCGGCACGGTAATTTTTATTTTTATTAGGATAAAATTTCTCTGACGTAGAATAAAATTTGATCATCATATATTAATTTTGGATTGGTAGGATAATTTTTATCGAAAATTTCTCTCCGTGTACTAAATTTGTAAATTTAAAATCTGTGAATGTATAAAATGTATAAATTACGCTTAACACACCGTTTAACTTACGTTTAGATTATTCTGTGTGACTCCTCACAATTCATCGTCATTCTAGAATGATAAATCCCGAATATTCCCTGATCCCACCCCCAGATCCGTCTCAAGCCTTCGCCGATACACTCAACCCGTCCGATCCCCCTTCCCTCGAGCAACATCAAACAGCCGATAATTCGCCCGCGTCAGCCACCCTGCACCCCCAAGTCTTAAGACCCAACGTCTTGTGATATCAGCATTCACTTACCTTTTTCCGTAGCAAAGTCTCTCTTGAATATGCTAATGCCTCCGTTAAACACGCCAAGGATGTTCGATACGCTTACCATGCGTTATGCCGGTCGACAGCCCAGTCGGCCCCGTGGATTTTCACCAACATAATCCCATTCCCTCATAATGCATGTGTACACATGTGTATCCATTTGGAAAGGCCTCACACGTACATGCCCTCCATATTAAGCCACTGACACGCAGTTCACCACCCTCACGGTTAACTTGACTTTCGCGTGACCCATCTCCCTCGACGCTTTAACGAACGTCGCCCCTCCCCTCCCCCTCTCCATCCCCCTCTCACTGCCATATCTTATCGGACGGCGAGAGAAAAATGGACAAGTTATCAAACAAGTCTTGACTGGGCAAAACAAAATTGAAGTTAAAAATTACGAAAAAATAAATTGTGTGGTTTTCAAATGTTTTCATATTTTCGGTTCAAATTTCACTGGGAATTTAGCGGAATTACAAATTTTTGAGCGGTAGATGAGGATTTCCCCACTCAATTGAATTCTCAATTAATTGGAAATTCTAGAACATATTTACCTGATTTTTGATAAAATTTATCCTACCGTTCTATAAAAGTGTATCATGAGTCATCGTTTCCTCATTTCTATCCCGAAATTTAGTAAAAATTAATATATGATGATTAAATTTTATTCTACGTTAGAGAAATTTTATCCTGATAAAAATAAAAATTACCGTCCCAGTAGAGTAAATATTACTGTACCGGTAGGGTAAAATTTACCAACCGTTCTAGAATTTTCGTTGTTATCTACATAAAAATTATTGGACTGGAAGGGTAAAATGTGTTATGCGTCAGGATAAAATTTCTCTAACGTAGAATGAAATTTGATCATCACATATTAATTTTTACTAAATTTCGGGATAGAAATGAGGAAACGATGATTCATGATACACTTTTATAGAACGGTAGGATAATTTTTATCAAAAATTTCTCTCCGTGTACCGTAACTATTATTTTTTTGACAATTCCCTCGTAATTAAAACTACCAATGAAATTTCTCTCAGTGCGGATAGTGTAAATAAATCCTGTAGATTTGAGCACCTTAAACAATAAAAAAACTGGTAAATTTTGAATTCCAAAATTCCTAAAAATTCTCGTGGGATTATCACTTGATCAAACCTATCTTTCGCCCTCCTTTTACTCGTCTTCAAATATAAATTTTCTGAGAATGCATTTTACCACTTTACCCTCACGTCACAAAATTTTTTACTACATTTTTTCCGCGTACCTGAATTTACTTTCCTCACATATACCCGTTCATCCACCTTCACTCACCCGATCGAAGTCTCCAATACGATCTGTTAGAAGTTACAACTCCGACTTTTACGGTCTTAAAACATTGAACCCGTTTTACGGCTATTGTTTCCTCCAGCCCCCATCAACTCAACGGAAAATGTTAATACACGTAGAGGTTCACGAGGCGGTTGAAAAAAGCGTTAATTATCCAATGGTGTCAAAGTCCGGAAAACAATGCACACGCGATGCGAAATTGGAATCAGCTATTGGTGGATCGATGACAGCCAAGGCCATCAGACATTTCAACTTTAATATCTACGGTCGTTTTCCTTCCTGATGCCGACAGGGGATACTTTGTGTGCGCATCAGCTATATTTTTCGCTACGCTGAGCCCGCTGAATCCACCTGATTTCCATATTTCTAGGAGTCTCTCAATATTCGCATGATGGATCATAAAGAATTTCATCTTTTTCATTTCTGGAAAATAAACATGTCTGGAAGAAGCTGTTTTACGTGAAAATAATGCCCTCAAGTTGCGTTAACACTTGGGTCGTTGAGTATAACGATGAAAATTGAATTCGAAATGCACGAAAGAATAATTATTCATCGTTGATAATTTTTTTAAACCAGAGTCGAGGATTGGTTCTCTCAAAAATATGTGGAAAAAGTGAAAATTGAAAAAAAAAATTTTTCACCCGGAGCCAAGGGTCAGATTTTCGGTTTTTCCAGGGGGAAAGTCGATTAACCGAATAATCGTCAATGTTCCTAACTAACTTATTGATTGGTAAAATAATTCGGCATTTGAATATTCAATTGATGATTAATTTAACAATAAAAAATTGAAGGGTAGTTCTAATTTATGATTCTGGCTATGTCTGCCTCCAGAATTCTAATTTTCATTTCAACCTTGGAAATGTCATTTTCCCATGAAACTCTGCGTCATAAAACTTCCGCGCTTCTGAAATAATTGTGGACGTCCGCATGAAAAGGGACCACTTTGTCGATTCCATTTTCCGAGATATTCACGTTTTTCTCTTGCCAACTCCCATTTAAACCCATGTTAAATTATTTTTTCGATTGTCTATAGCGTCGTCACTCTTTACGCTATCAAGTTCATTTTTGGCTCTAAATTTGCAGAATCAGATCAAGATTATCGGGATATACATAACTCTAATAGTGCCAAAGTGGTCCCTTTTCATGCGGACGTCCACAATTATTGTCAATAGAACTAGACAGTCGATGCCCCACAAATTTCACCTCAATGTTTATATTCACATCGACTTCAATTCGAAATTTATTCCAGGTTTTAATTTCCAACCCGGCGTATGTTCATTCCACTTTAATTGCGCTCTGCCATAATAATTCCGAGTAAATCCGAGTAATCGAGAGGACTATTGGGAAGTGTGAAACTAATTAAGTTATAGTAGTTCATCACCGTGGAGTGAACTTTAAACTAGCGGACGTGTCCTTGTTAGGGGGGAGTGAGCGTGGGCTAGCTGATTTATGCGCAATCTTCATCGTGGTAGCGGTATTGTTGGTTCTTGCAGCTGCCTGAACTTTCTGAAACTTGAAAAATTCGAGAAAATTATCAGGATGTAATTTTCCACTCTGCTATGTTGCAGCACTCTACTTTCCGCAGTCGGACTTGACGCTGAGGCTGCCTTATTATGGGAAGAGTGATGCGACGGCGAATCCGGACATTAGTATTTTCGTCTTGAGAACATTAAGGAATGATTCAGCGGTTTCCAGGGATCCGAAGTACCAAATTGTTTCGGAGAATGATAGGGCGGTGAGGCTGGATGAAGGGACTGGAGAAATTAGTCTGCAATCTCTGCCGAAGAAAGGTACGTATCAAGATGTTTCGTCCGTAGTCCCCCTCCCCCGGAGACAAACAAATAAATTTCAGTGAAGAATTATTTGTTGGAAATTATACCATTGATTAAACGGCGGGGAGAACGAATTTTTTAACACGTAATGATTAATTATTTGGGTCGATGATTTATACATTTCATGTAATTAAAACATTTTTATTGAAATCAACATGTAAGTTTATTCTATTTTACTAGCGAACTCACTAGATTAATTCATATTATGTTATTTTATTTTATTTTGATTTCATTATCGTCTTCACAATTAAATTAATTTAATTTTATTCATTCTTATTGTTATTATATGTACTTTTGTTCCTTAACTCACAAGTTACAACATTGAATGACGAGGAATTCTCCATAAATCGCGTGAGAATACAGATCGACAAACAATTTTCGATAATGATCTCAGTGAAGACTTATTTGTTGAAAATCATATAATTGATTAAACGGCGGAGAGAACGAATTTATTAACACGTAATGATCAATTATTTGGGTCGATGATTTATACATTTCATGTAATTAAAACATTTTTATTGAAATAAATATATAAGTTTATTCTATTTTACTAGTGAACTCACGAGATTAATTCATATTATGTTATTTTATTTTATTTTGATTTCATTATCGTCTTCACAATTAAATTAATTTAATTTTATTCATTCTTATTGTTATTATATGTACTTTTGTTCCTTAACTCACAAGTTACAACATTGAATGACGAGGAATTCTCCATAAATCGCGTGAGAATACAGATCGACAAACAATTTTCGATAATGATCTCAGTGAAGACTTATTTGTTGAAAATCATATAATTGATTAAACGGCGGAGAGAACGAATTTATTAACACGTAATGATCAATTATTTGGGTCGATGATTTATACATTTCATGTAATTAAAACATTTTTATTGAAATCAATATATAAGTTTATTCTATTTTACTAGTGAACTCACGAGATTAATTCATATTATGTTATTTTATTTTATTTTGATTTCATTATCGTCTTCACAATTAAATTAATTTAATTTTATTCATTCTTATTGTTATTATATGTACTTTTGTTCCTTAACTCACAAGTTACAACATTGAATGACGAGGAATTCTCCATAAATCGCGTGAGAATACAGATCGACAAACAATTTTCGATAATGATCTCAGTGAAGACTTATTTGTTGAAAATCATATAATTGATTAAACGGCGGAGAGAACGAATTTATTAACACGTAATGATCAATTATTTGGGTCGATGATTTATACATTTCATGTAATTAAAATATTTTTATTGAAATCAATATATAAGTTTATTCTATTTTACTAGTGAACTCCCGAGATTAATTCATATTATGTTATTTTATTTTATTTTGTTTCCATTGTCGTCTTCACCATTTAATTAATTCAATTTTATTCATTCTTATTGTTATTATATGTACTTTTGTTCCTTAACTCACAAGTTACAACATTGAATGACGAGGAATTCTCCATAAATCGCGTGAGAATACAGATCGACAAACAAAAAGTTTTTCTTCTCTCTGTCCTTCTATTTATTTTCTCTTTTATTTTCCCCAAAATATACAGACCTCCAAATGATTAAAATAATGATTCACAACGCCCATTGAATCGAATTACCTCGGGAAGTGCGAGGCTTTCCGGTTGAATTTTGTCATGCCTGAACAAATTATCGATTCCATTTAATTTATAGATATAAGTAATTACCACATTTTATGACTGAATAGGTGGTGGTAAAACTATTGTCGTCCAGGCGAAGGAACGTGGTGGCGATGCAACAATAGAGATTAAACTGCAACCCACTGAAATTAAAGGGGATAGGATTAATTGCTCGGAGTTCACCCAAGTATATTAACGTTTTATCAGTAATCTGATTGTCAATTCAATACTGTATTTCACGGATTATTTCAATTTTCAGGACGTGTGTTTCTGGGATGTAGCGAAATACAAAATTTATGAGAACCAACCGTCCACGATGCTCGGGAAAATTGGACCCGCTGCTTACAGAACATTGTGCCCAAATCTCCGAGTAACTCGCTATGAATTGCTGAATGGTAAAGTTTTGGGAGTTCTAACTGAATCATCTATTATTTCCACGGGGAACGGTTTTTGCGATGGCATTGCTTTTACATGGAGAGAAATTTTCTAGAAAAATTCTAGTATGAGTACTGAAAAAAATCACAATCCACCGGTTGTGAAAAATGCTAGTGCTGTTAAGGTAAAATTTGTCAGGATTTCTGGTAAAATTTCTGAAGATTTCTATGAAATTTTCACAGAAATGGGGGGGAGGGGGGAAATTCACGTTGTCGCAAATAAAATTTTCAGTGCCAGCACTGGAATTCCAGTGCTAGCACTAGAATTTTTCTAAAAAATGTCTCTCCGTGTGGAAAAAAATTATTTTTCATCATTTTCATTTACTGCAACGGAGACGCACTGATCGTCCACCTCATGTACTTGAGTAAACCTTCCCGTTTTTCACTGAAATTTCATATCCACTGAGTTTCATGCCCTCATAAATGCGTAATAAGAACGAATCAGACATAGAAAGAAAACTCAATCCATGAAGATGTTTTTTTTTTCATTTAAATAAAGATGAATAATAAGCGAAATGGATTTTTAACTTTTAATTATTTAGAATTATTCATTTTAATTGAATTTCATTTGAATTAAATTTTTAATTTCCATTGATTATTTTTCCCAATCGGATTTCGACCAATCAGAGCGCAGTATTTGAGGCTACCCGACAGTTTTATTTCGGATATTTCCTCCTAGCTTTTGAATATTTCGCAGTAGTTCTTCATTTTTTTTACCTGAATATTTGATCAATACTCTTCCACTTTTCAAAGTGACCCGATCAATATTCATAATTGTTGAAAAATAATTGAAGTGTTATGATCGATTTTCTAGAAAAGTGAACAATTCTCTTGAATTGTTCAAACAACCCCAGAATTTACTAAATAAACTGAATAATTTCCAGAATTTTTATCGAATGAAAAATAAAACACACATTTTTTTAAAGACCAGACAACTTTTTCGGTTTTCCTATAATTTGAAACCTCGATATGTCGAAATTAAAAATGGAAGAGAAAAAAATGAATCAAAATTAATCAAATTTATAGCATTTCAATTCTTTTCAATTTCTCAAAAATATTTTCTGTTTTTGACGTCTCCATTTTTCCTATTTTTTTTCACAGTGTGGGTATGTGGTTTACGTTCCAGGAACCGATTATTTTCATATAATAAACGAGGAGTTATACTCCAACGCCTCCCTGGATCGAGACACCCTGGATTACCCGGGGGGTCCAGGACCTCACCTGGACCTCCGAGCTCGATGTTTTCTCTGGGAAGAGAGGACCGGGCGGCAATATATTCATGAGAAAAATCTCGACATCGACATACTTGATCTGGACGACAACCCCCCCATCGCACAAATTGACACCAATGTTGAAATAGAGCTTGCGGATTTCAAAGCGGTGAGAATAAAAATCCCCTGCGCATGTCTGTTGTGGGGAGACTACTATGAGTTTTAAAAGTCGTGGGTTATTGGAGTGAGACTTTTCATACATTGAAGATCAATTATATAGATCTGAAAATGGATAATTAGTGCAAGAAAAATTTGTTTTATTATTCGTTTGGCGGAAAACGCTTAAAATGCCAAAAACAGACCAGGACCTCCAATTTTTGAGCTACGAAGGATTTTTTGTTTCCAAAAGTTTTGAAAAAACATGTGGAATAACAATTACGAGCTATTTTTTTTTAATTCGCCTCTTACATGGCTAAATTTGCTTTTTTTGTATTTTTTTACACAAATAGTGAATTTTTCTATATGAAAAAAAGGAAATCAGCTGTGTAAGAGTCGAATTCCAAAAAACTGGCTCGTAATTGTTGTTCCATACATTTCTCCGAAAATTTTGAAAAAAAAAAAAATTCTGTAGCTCAAAAATTGGAGGCCCTGGGCTGTTTTTAACATTTTAAGCGTTTTCGGGTAAACGAACAGTAAAAAAAATTTTTTTTGCACTAATTATTCGTTTTCAGATCTATATAATTGATCTGTAACGTATGAAAAATCTCACTCCAATAAACCACGACTTTTAGAACTCATAGTAGTCTCCCCTTAAAGGAAATTAAACTTATATACAAATGGAGAGAAATTCTTTTACAAATTTTTTAGACAACGTTGGCCTTTTTGACAGCAAAATTTTAATTTGATTCAATAACTTCGTGAGACCACAAGGCCGAACAATAAATCTTCATCATGAATCGCAAACGATCGAATAACACTCCTCATGTAATTCAGTAGCGAAGTGGTCAAACGGTTTAAGTCGATTTTGGCTGTTGGCCAGTTTTCAATGAATATCTCGAAATCTAAGGGAGATAGCAAAATTTTTCTCATTACCTTTTTAGTAGCACTCAATTTTNAATTACGAGCTATTTTTTTTTAATTCGCCTCTTACATGGCTAAATTTGCTTTTTTTGTATTTTTTTACACAAATAGTGAATTTTTCTATATGAAAAAAAGGAAATCAGCTGTGTAAGAGTCGAATTCCAAAAAACTGGCTCGTAATTGTTGTTCTATACATTTTTTCGAAAATTTTGAAAAAAAAAAAAATTCTGTAGCTCAAAAATTGGAGGCCCTGGGCTGTTTTTAACATTTTAAGCGTTTTCGGGTAAACGAACAGTAAAAAAAATTTTTTTTGCACTAATTATTCGTTTTCAGATCTATATAATTGATCTGTAACGTATGAAAAATCTCACTCCAATAAACCACGACTTTTAGAACTCATAGTAGTCTCCCCTTAAAGGAAATTAAACTTATATACAAATGGAGAGAAATTCTTTTACAAATTTTTTAGACAACGTTGGCCTTTTTGACAGCAAAATTTTAATTTGATTCAATAACTTCGTGAGACCACAAGGCCGAACAATAAATCTTCATCATGAATCGCAAACGATCGAATAACACTCCTCATGTAATTCAGTAGCGAAGTGGTCAAACGGTTTAAGTCGATTTTGGCTGTTGGCCAGTTTTCAATGAATATCTCGAAATCTAAGGGAGATAGCAAAATTTTTCTCATTACCTTTTTAGTAGCACTCAATTTTTTCTACAAAAAAGGTTATTATGAAAATTTCGCTATCTCCCTTAAATTCGGAAATATTTACGGAAAACTCGACCAAAGATTAAATTGATTTAAACGGTTTGACCACTTCGCTACTGAATTCTTCAGAAAAGTTCTGGAAAAAATCCTAATCCACCGGCTACACGAAGAGAAATATTCAATGAAAATTACTGAACAATTCACGTAAGCCGCAATGGGAATCATTTTCCGGCAATTTTTATAGGAATGAAAGAGATGAAATCTGAAACGTTCAATGAATTTTCAGGTTCATCACCGAACAAAGTACGAAATTGTCACGTAATTTTTCCCGAAGAAGTAAAATCTTACAGAAACTTGCCGACTTATTATGCCTCCAAAATCAAAAATTCTTGAACGTTCAACAATTTTTATGAAGCTGATGAGTTATTTCTACGTTCCGTTGCGTAAAATTTCCCGTCATTAGACGGGTGATTAATTTTTACGGAACAAATCGTAGAATTTACGTGGCGATTCGTACAATTTTAGTTCCGACTCCCACTTTTTATTGAATTTTACTTCGCTCGCGGATTAAGTTTCGAAACGTAATTTTTACGTTTTTTTGTGGTAATTTTTATTGAATTTTTCTCTCCGTGTGATAAATTCTAGGGCTATTAAAGCCGCATTTCTAGGGATTTCTGATGAAACTCCCATGAATTTCTGTGAAAATAACATAAAACCGCTGGAAAAATTCACGTGCTACTCAATAAAAGTTCCGGTACTGGAATTTTTCCCTGACCCTTTCCTCCTTCTTTGCGCCCTTTTCCCGGAAAACCAGAATTTCTCTCCGTGCAGGTCTCGCTCTTCGTTTTATTCGTTTTATCTGACTCGTTGAGTTCTCTTATTTCACCTCGAGCTTGACGCATGGCCAAGATTATCTTTTGGCTTGTCTGCAGTTTTCGCTTCTCGGAGTCGTGAAAGCTTTTGTTTTGAATTTCCCTCGCAGGGCACGAGACTGGACAACAACGAGCTCATGGTGAACGACGCTGATGCAGCTTCGAGTAATGTCTACAGCGTCAGGATCTTGGGGGATATACATAATGCGTTGAATATTACGTTCAATACGATGTCCATTGAACATCCGACTCGACCAGAAACTCCACCATATACCGCAATTTTCACAAGTATGTGAAGCAGTTCATGTGATTTTAAGTGGCTTTCTTCAATTTTTAATGGTTTCTTTTCAAAGTACATTATTTTTTAATTGAAAGATTAAAAAAACGACAAACAATATTTACCGTTTTAGTTTTTATGAGTAAAAATGTTTAAAAACCATTATTTAAGGACATCCAAGTATTTTTTACTATTTAGTACAGACCACACATTCAACCACTTTCAATCATCAAATTTGTCAATTATATTGCGTGAGAAAAATTTGAAACAAATCATGAATATTCAACGTCATTCAAATGACATTTGGCACAGAATTATTATTTTTTTAAACATTAATTGTTTATAAATAAATAATTAAGATTGTTTAAACTTTCGGAAACCTTATTTTTTATGAAATAAAACATATGAATAAGGTTGTTACAATCCCGAATCAATGAATTTTTCAAAAATTAATTTTAATTAATTAATTTTCAAAAATTGCTATTTTTTAATTATTCTATAAATCTTCCTCCAAAATTACATCTTCTAATTTTTTTTCAGATTTCTAGGATGTTTTCTAACGATTCAATATCGAGATTCAAATTCAGTTCTGCAAAGTTTAAATAATAAAATCATTGTAAAATATCCAGAGGCTTAGGATCAAATGGAGCTCAAATGAAAGTTCTGATGTTCGACTATAAAAGTAGAAAAGCATTTCATTGGAGAAAAAATAGCCAAAGTACTTGGATATCCTTAATCCATACTCTTATGTGCACATCGCCAAATATTGCATATTTCCGTTTAAATAAAAGATTAAAATCAGAATTTTTTTTCTAAAAATGAGAAAAAAATCATGAAAAATATTGGAACTTGTTTAATCACGATTTATCGTTTTTTTTATATTATTAATAATATCCGGCCAGAATCATGCCAACAATGGTGACGAATATCTTCAAACTCATGAATTGAAAAACCGTTCATTCATACCTTTACTTGAAAAAATTGCTCAATTGAAAATTCCAGAATACATCTGCTTGAATTTCTCTGATTTCCATTAATTTTCGTGGAATAATTGAACTAAAATTACCGGTTTCCGTCGATGCTTTCATAAAATCTCCAATTTTCAGTGCTGAAATTCCTCCAAATTTCTGTGGAACTCTAATGCACTAAAAACGTCCCAGAAATGGACCGAAAATTTCATTAAAAAAATTTTAACAGCGCAACTAAATCTATATTTTGCGAGAAAAATGTGTCACGTCGGGACACTCTTCAAATATTGACCACGAAATTTTAATTCTTTTTCAACTTTTAATGAATTTTTTTTAGTTCAAAGAGTGATTTTGTTATTTAAAAAAAGACTCAGTATACATGTCTCATTCTCTCCACCCCCAACCAGGAATATTCTCCAGGACAACGCTCCTTCCTAAATCTCCATACAGAGTGATCCTGCAAGTAACCGACGAGTCGCTGCTCCCGGGAAAAGGCGAAAAATCGGTAAGAAAATCGACTCCATCCATCAAACCCACTCTGATCAAACGTCCCAGAAAAATGGCATCTCCCAATCGCACAATACAATTTTGACAACACACCCGATCGGTTTTCAATTCAGTAGCGAAGTGGTAAAACGGTATAAGTCGATTTTGACGGCCATTTTTCAGTGAATATCTCGGAATCTACGGGAGATAGCTAAACTTGTGTTGGAACCTTTTTTGTAGCACTCAATTTGCTCTACAAAAAAGGTTATTATGAATATTTCGTTATCTCCTTCAGATTCGGAGATATTCTTCAAAAACTCAACTAAGAGATAGGTCGGCTCAAACCGTTTTACCACTTCACTACTGAATTGAAAACTCTATTCCATACGCGAACAGTGGCAGTTTTGTTGGGATCATAGAATGATTTAAAACGCAATTTCCGGTTGAGACACAGTACGCCTGTACCCGCCCCACGCTAATGTGAATATCGCCTACACATAGTTAGCGGCATTCGATAAAAATGAGAGGAAAAAAGCCCACCGAGCCAACGATTATCAAATAGCAATTAGTCTGCCCGGACGCTTGAAATCAATGCTCGCCCCGCCCCTCGCCGGATCCTCAATAACTTTTCCCTAAGTATGAATAACGGAATAAGTGTTTCTACGTGTGAAATTGCGGAAACCTTCCGCAGGAAGTGCAGTCTAATGGCCCTTGAATTAAGATCTCCGGATTTCAGTTAAATTAATTTTTTTTAAACGAGCATCCTCTCCACAATTTTTTTCCTCCGCTGCACGCGCAGGAGTTGACTACTGGTTTATACATATTATTTATAATTATTACATATTTATTTATTCATTAAAAAGAAAGTTAATATTCGCTATTGTGTTTAGATTTGGGAAAAAAATTTGAATCTTTTTCGACGAACACATGAATAAAAATTTGTTATTCACGATTTTTTTAAAGAATAATAAATCTATCATTATTATCATTTGTTTATTTAAATAATAAAAAAAAATTACAATGAGTAATCATTTTTTTAAGCCAAGATAAGCTTGAGTGAAGTGAAAAAAAAATGCGAAAAACACTTGAATCTCAAACAATTATTTCATTCATAATTATCATTTATTTATTCAAATAATAAATAAAATAATCGTATGCCTACCATGCGCTTATTACTGGTTTATACATATTATTTATAATTATTACATATTCATTTATTCATTAAAAAGAAAGTTAATATTCGCTATTGTGTTTAGATTTGGGAAAAAAATTTGAATCTTTTTCGACGAACACATGAATAAAAATTTGTTATTCACGATTTTTTTAAAGAATAATAAACCTATTATTATTATCATTTGTTTATTTAAATAATAAAAAAAAATTACAATGAGTAATAATTTTTTAAAGCCAAGATGAGCTTGAATGAAGTGAGAAAAAATTGAGAAAAAGAATTGAATCTCAAACAGTTGTCTCATTCATAATTATCATTTATTTATTCAAATAATAAATAAAATAAACGTATGCCTACCATGCGCTTATTACTGGTTTATACATATTATTTATAATTATTACATATTCATTTATTCATTAAAAAGAAAGTTAATATTCGCTATTGTGTTTAGATTTGGGAAAAAAATTTGAATCTTTTTCGACGAACACATGAATAAAAATTTGTTATTCACGATTTTTTTAAAGAATAATAAACCTATTATTATTATCATTTGTTTATTTAAATAATTAAAAAAATTACAATGAGTAATAATTTTTTTAAGCCAAGATAAGCTTGAGTGAAGTGAAAAAAAAATGCGAAAAACACTTGAATCTCAAACAATTATTTCATTCATAATTATCATTTATTTATTCAAATAATAAATAAAATAAGCGTATGTCCACCATGCGCTTGGCGAAATAGATTGCCGACCGAAAATAGTTCACCTATTTTTTAATAGAGGATTTTTAAATTCTGGAGTCTCGTGTCGAAGTCTCGTTCATTCCGTGCCGCGACTATGAACCGACTGGCGGTCGCGTGTAATTATTCTCTTACGCAAAAACGTGACCGTAATACATCAAGATCCAGAACTCGGCGAGGGGCCGGCGGGGGGCTCCAACGTGCCAGCGTTGTAATCCCTCGTCGACGCATTATTTTTCATAATTCAACCGCCCTGCATGATAATCCCTTATTTACCGCACTCTTGCAATTTCTAGGTGAATTTCACACTATCATTCGTGGGACCTCAGCACCATACGACATCTACAACTACTCCTATACCGCTGGATAAACCCATTTCCTTTCCCGATAACATCACAGTCTCTCGGACGGCCTCTAGATTCGCCAGGGTGGCGCAGCCATTCGTAAAACCCCTTGCCACTCAAATATTTACCATCGTAAATTCCAAAATCTTTAATATCACCGCTAGGGGAGGAATTATTTATGTCTCCAATGAGACAACGCTGAGAAATGCCAGTGACCGAATTCCGTAAGTTATGAATTTGAACTAAAATGTGTTGAAAATTTATAGAAATATAGAAGTTCGAGCGCTTCGGCTAGAAAATTTTTACGGGAATTTTGTTGGTTGTTTTGGTGCTTTCTGTTGAAATTCTTCGATCTAGTTGAATGTGTTCTGGAATTCCTAGGCAAAATACCAAAGCATTGTTTTCCATAAAAAATTTTCTAATTTTAATAATAAATTTTATTTTAGTAGTAAGTTGATTTTTTATTCCTTTATTTTTATTTTACCGATTATTTTTGCCTCTGACCGCAACTTTATGGTGAAAATTCAAATATAACATTTCAAACGTCGATCTGAGGCTATTTCCAAATTTTCTCCTGAATGGTAGGATACCATTAAAAAATAGGGGTTGAATCACAGAAATTTGAAGACGAAACTCCTAAGATTGAGGAGTTTATTTCATATTTTCAGATTTTTCATGATTCTTGTAAAAGTGGGAGACAAAATTACTTAATCTTTAGTACAAACAATTTTTTTATTATAAAAAATCGTCGCGTTCAGACAAAATCTCTCAATTATTATTACGAAAAATAGTTTTTTAATGCAATAAAATCGCTGCCTTAAAATCGCATTCTCTATATTTCTAGAATATTTCATGATTTTTCAGCGAGATTTATAACTCAAATGTACGAAAATTCCTCAAAAATATCTCATTCTATTGAAAATTTCGATCCAAAAAAAATGCATGAAAAAATTGGCTAAAACCGAAAGAATTATTCAATAAAATGTTAAATTTTTTGTTAAAATCATTGTAAAATGTTCGGAAACTTGGAGTCAAATGGGACTCAAGTGAAAGCTCTGACGTTCGACTACAAAAGAACAAAAGCATTTCAGTAGAGAAAAAGTAGCCAAAGTACTTGCATATTTTTACAGCTGAGGAGTTTATTTCGAATTTTCACATTTTTTTAGGACGCTTGAGGAAATTTGAGACAAAATCGCTTGATTTTTATTGCAACAAATGTTGTTTTATTACAAAAAATCACTGGGTTGAGACGAAATCTCTGAATTAGTATTACAAAAAAATCTTATTCCAAAAAATCGGTGCCAAAAAATTCTGTTCCGGTTCCCGCGATTCTCTATACTTCTATAATATTTCATGATTGTTCAGTGAAATCCACAACTGAAATGTCCGAAAATTCCTCAAAAATGTCTCATTCAAACGAAAATTTTGATCGGAAAAAAATGTATAAGAAAAAATCCCTAAAAACAAATAGAACTATTCAATAGCCAGTTAAAATTTTTATTTGAAATTCCTCACATCCATCAGGAATCAATAATCGAATATACCTCTAACATTCAGATTAAAGATTAAATGGATATCCCCGAACCGCAAGGTATCCACTCAAAGCCTGCTGGTGTTAGTGTCGGAGATACCTAAATCAGTAGTAGGTAGTTGTTTCGATCAACCGGGAGAAATCCACTCCTGTGCGAACGCTGCGACGCAGAAGGAATGCGAGAAGCTGTGCGGCGTAGGCGTGGGAATATTTATGTGAGTATAGCCGAATGTTTCCTCTCAATTCAGCTCCAGAAAAAGGGAAGAAAAAGATCGTTCAATTTAAACTGTTCCATTAATGCCGCACCGTCGAATTTATTTGGACCGTAGGAATAATGATCCCTCGGGCTGCACTTGGAGATCGAATAACCGTTCGCATTCGATCACGGAGAGGTATGAAACCTGCTCTCCTGACAGGACTCATTGTCCGGATCATGTTTGCGATGAGCTGGAATACTTAGATCATCGGATATGCCCGCAGGATTGCGCCATTGAAGGTAAGAAAAACAAGTCGAAGCTTCATAAAAAATTCGATAACTCGGGAACTACTGGAGATTAGAGAATGCCAATTGTATCGCCCATTCTCTGACACTTACTCCATAGCATATTTTATTTGTTGTTAATTTTTTAATTTGTTGATTGATTAATTAATTGTAAATTCCACTTTCTCGATTCTGCATTTTTTCCCACAAGCTTATTCCCGTTGTGAATGAAAATTTCTCTTGCACTTCTTCGATAACATTGGTATTTATTGAGTCACAATTTTTAACAATATAACTCACCTGGCCCAGCCTGAAAATTTTGATTTCGCATAACTTCAAAAAAAAATTCGTCAATAAAATTCATTATGTTTCGTATATTGTGGACTTCGAAATTATAAAAAATTTCCCATGAAATAGATTAAATTATCAACACAATCCGACTCGATTTTTTTCAAGTTATTTTTAATATCAAATTCTTGTAGAAACTTTTTTCCCCGATGATCGATCAAGATGATGATAATGACGATGTATTGACCCATTCGAGAAGAAATGAACTTTAATTCGTTGAATATCTCATTACAGAGGAGATAACATTCGGCGTAATGAACAAAAACGGAAGGGGTATAAAGGAAGCGGAGGGGGTGTGCGCTTGCACTGACGAGATGAAATGTACCTGCGGTCGGACGTATCGCAATGGTGCAGGAAAAAAGAGCAACAGCACCATAAACGGAACTAAGGGCAGCGGTAGTAAAGACGCCCGAGATGGAGGGAAAACTAAGAGAGAGCGGGAGAAGGAGGTGGAGATGGCTGTGTCAGACGCTCATAAAGGTGAGTTCTGAATGCAGTAAAAAGTACGAGAGAATGATGTTGCAGGATGCTGTGGGAGGAGTTGTATCCTGATTTTTTTCCCCATTCGAAGGGAAAGTAATTGAGAGTGGAAGGCGCACTGGTTTTATAGGCGCTTTAGAGGAGTTTCCGACGATCGATTGATCCTTCGCTTTTTATTTTCAGTTGCCTCTGGTTCCAAGTGCGGAACTGAGTGTGTGATCGGAGTTTTTCTGGCAATATCCATTGCTATATTCATCGTGAGTGGCATCGTCGCTTGTTGGTGGAAGAACAGGTGTGTGAGACTTTTCTTTCACTTTTTGGCGAGGAATTTAATGATTTTATTCAATATTTCATTTTAATTATTCTCGATACTGAGAGAAAAATTACGTGTTCTCGAAGAGGTGTTGTTTGAATGAAAATAGCTCCTAAAGTGACGTTAATCGAGAAATATTTTGTTCCGAAGTCACAGAATTACTTCCTTGCTTCGCATAAAACGAACATTTTTCGAGAGTAAAATACGTATGGTGGGATAGAATGACGAACTGGAAGTGTTAGATATAAGATTTCATCTCAGAATATTCTTTAAGTATTTCTTCAAATGTTTGTTCGAGCATTTTATTTTTGGGAATTTTTAACTTCCGACTTTCTTGGGAAAAGTTTGAGAACATGTTTGAAAAGTTTGAGAACATGTTTTTCTTTTTCAGATAAACGGTTCATTTAAAGTACGTGAACTTTATTTAAATCATTTATCTCTATTTAAATAATTTTTATTATTACAATATGTAATAACAGTGTGGTAATTACAGTGTGTTTATTATATACAGTTTATGTTTGCATAAACTTTCTTTAAATCATTGCTTTGCTTCAAATCAAGTTTATTCAACCATGAACTTTATATTTATTAGGGTTTTTATTCATATCATCCTTTGGATAGCGAAGGGCAGGAATTTATCAACAGATGCTTTACTTGGCTGAAATGAACCGTTAATTATTTCTAAAAGAGTATTTATTAGTAATGAATGAATTATCTCAAAAGATTGCCATTGAGTGTAAAGGTTTCAAATGATAAGTTTTATTCCATTCAAATGCTTCATTTCTCTGGGCATGGCAAGATGAAATTCACTGAGGCTTTAGTTTTTGCTGTAACTTCCATCTCGCCTTATAAACAAATCCCCGGAGAAATTTTCTGATGCCTCTCAAGTTCAAAGATATTTATTTTGTCTTGAAATTTTCCTACTGGATTGTTGATTTATGGAGAGGACTCTCAGAAAATCGTAAAACGTTACGTGCACTCCATTCCCCGATGGCAAAGAAACATCTTAAAGCAAGGAAAACATCAAGCTGATTAAACTTTAATTAAACAGCCTTGTCTTGCAACTTCTAAGGACCTGATAATCCTTTACTCAGCTGAAATGAACAGTTCACTTGTTTCTAACAGAGTATTTATTAATAATGACTGAATTATTTCTCACATGCACTCAAAAGGGTGTCATTGAATGAGTATAAAGGTTTCAAATGGGGAGTTTTATTTGATTCAAATGCAAAACGAAATTCACTCAGGCTTTAGTTTTTGCTGTAACTTCCATGTTGCTTTATAAAGAAGCCCCCGGAGAAGTTTCTCGTGTCTCTTAAATTCAAAGGTATTTATTTTGTCTCACTACTTTTGTTTCACTACTGGATTGTTGATTTATGAAGAGGACTCCCTGAAAATCGTAAAACGCAACGTACACTCCATTCCTCGACGACAATGAAACGTCTTAAGGATATCCAAGTACTTTGGCTATTTTTTCTCCAGTCAAATACTCTTCTACTTTTGTATTCGAACATCGGAGCTTTCATTTGGGCCCCGTTTGATTCTAAGTTTCCGGATATTTTACAATGATTTTATTTTTCAAACTTTGCAGGTCTGGATTTGAAGGTCGTATTTAAACTGCTAGAAAACATTTTAAAAATCTGAGAAAAGTAGAAAGTTTACTATTTGAGGAAGATTGAAGAAATGATTTAAAAATTATAATTTTTGGAAATTTCGAGTATTTTTATAAATAATTTATAAACAATCAATTTTCCACCGTAAAAATTATTTTGCAATGATAACAAATTTCTTCATATTCAGAATTTTACCACAAATCGATTTCATGCCTGAAAAAATAAGAGTTCGGACAGTTTAAACAATTTCAATTATTTATTTATAAGTAAAGAATTATTACATAATAATAATCCGATAAAGTTTGTACTCTGCAATTCTCAATTTCTGTCATTTATTTTACTCATTCTATGAAAAGACAAGAATAGAAATCGAATTGATCGATATTCTTTCATTATTATCGAAAAAAAATAGATTTAAAAACTTTCAGGAGACATTAAAATATCAATTTTTTTATTTCCTTCCTCTCACTGTTTTTGCATTTTTGAGTTTCTTCTCCCTGAAATATTGATATTCCCATAATACGTCGACATAATAGAAAAAAAAATCCATTTTCTAGCCAATTATCCACTTCTGATTCTTTTTTCATTTCCTTTTCATAATACGGAAAAATAGATTTTAAAAAATTTTCAGGAATACTTGGAGAGATTTGTCTATTACTCGAATGATATTTCGAACGACTTTTATTTTGTGTATTTATTTTGATCACAAAAAACCCTTTTTATTGATCTTTACAACATAATTCCCCTTCATTCAATGTTGTAATTTGTGAATTGAGAAAAAAATATACAACAAGAATAAGAGTGGATAAAATTAAATTAATCTAATTGTGAAAGCGGAAATTAAAATAAAATCAACTAAAATAAAATAGTATGAATTAATCTAGCGAGGGGCGCGACGCGCCCGTTCGCTCTGTTAAAAAAAAATTCTGTGCAAAATATAATGTAAATTTTTTTCACGCAATTTAATTGATAACTTTGATGAATGAAAATGGTTAAATCTATATTGTGGTCTATGCCAAACCGTAAAAGATCCTTGAATATCCTCAAAGGACGGACCCTAGAGTTGTCTTTTCTCCTACAATTATCAATTTTTATCTATGAAACTACGTTATCACCTCGATTATTACATTCTTGAGCCAATGACGTAATTTGTCATGAATGAAAAATAATAATTGCATTAGAAAACCCACTTTTAAAAGTTCATATAGACACAGGGGTTCCGTTTCCCCTTGAAGCAAGAAAAATATCAAACTAATGGAGCTAATACTTGACGTCAGTGCAGGGGTCAGTTGCGATTGCTATCTGAACATGCAACCTTGCCGTACAACTCCTAAGGACGTAGTTTCACCTCTGACCTTTGCAAAAAATGACAATGTCACTCTAATCCTTCCAGGAATTTGCGGAAGGGAGGAAGGCGCGAATGCAAACACCGATCCGACGACATTAACAACGGTCTCGGCATCTTACCTCTCGATTACCTGGACCGAGGCGACGGACAGCTAATTAATATCGAGACCTTCGCCAGTATTAACCGCAGTCTTCTTCTCCCGAAAACATCGGTAAGTAGTTTGCTCGGAACTGGAGATTAATCTGCTGTGAAAATATTCCACCCACCGAGTTATTCTAACTCAATTAGTACATAGCACCCCTGAACTGTACGTCGGAACTATGTGCTCACCTGAATTTGCATATCGCGGGAGGTAACGAGAATTTGTGCCAAGATTATAAAGGACTGATTATAACATCCAAATTACATGAGAATTTGAGACTCTGGAGAGAGTTCTTGGAACTTTTTTATGTCGGCAATGGCGCAGTCACTGTTCGGAGAGAAATTTTCTAGAAAAATTCTAGTACGAGTACTGGAAAAAATTACAATTCACTGGCTGTGAAAAATTCTGGTGCTGTTAAGGCAAAATTGCTTGGTATTTCTGGAAATTTCACAGAAATGCGGGGAAAACTTCACATTTTCCCCAATAAAATCTCTAGTGCCGGCACTGGAATTTTTTCCTGGCCGTCGCTTTGTGCCTCTTTTCCCGTGCTAGCACTAGAATTTTTCTAAAAAATTTCTCTCCGCGTGCAACCGTCAGCGTTGTTTTAATGGATAGAATTTTGAATTTACTGAGAAAGAGTGAAAAAATGATCGCAGTGCAAGAAGAATTTTCTGTTCTTTCAGTTAGACAAAACATGATCGTAAAAGCAGAATATAACATGGCCTCCTCAAGTGGTAGAAACTGGCGCATGGCAGACGTTTTTCAGTTTTTAAACATCAATTTATTTAGTCATTCATGGGGGGGAAATCAGTGCCAAATGATGAAAAAAGAGTATTAACTATCTACTTGGCGCGATGATTTCACGAATTACGAGAAAAATGTAATTTTTTGGAATTCGTTAAAGATACCCAGTAGCTGTCACTGTTCCGGTCTGCCACCCCCAGTGATTTTTTTATGGCTAGAATTTTGAATTTACCTAGGAAGAAAAAAAATGATCTTAGGGTTAAGGGAATTTTCTATTCCTTCAGTCAGACAAAACACGATTGTAATCGCAGAATGGAATATGGCCTTGTCAAGTGGTAGAAACTGGCAAGTGGCAGCCGTTTTCTAGTTTAAAATAAAAATACTCATTATTAATTTATTAATAATTAATAAAATAAAACATTGGAATATTAATTTATTTAATCGTTCAGTGGGAGGGGGGAATCAATGCCAAATGATCAAAAAAGAGTATTAACTATCTACTTGGCGCGATGATTTGACGAATTACGAGAAAAATGTAATTTTTTGGTGTTCGTTAAAGATACCCAGTAACTGCCACTGTCCCGGTCTGCCACCCCCAGCGATTTTTTAATGGCTAGAATTTTGAATTTACTGAGGAAGAAAAAAAATGATCTTAGGGTTAAGGGAATTTTCTATTCCTTCAGTCAGACAAAACACGATTGTAATCGCAGAATGGAATATGGCCTTCTCAAGTGGTAGAAACTGGCAAGTGGCAGCCGTTTTCTAGTTTAAAATAAAAATACTCATTATTAATTTATTAATAATTAATAAAATAAAACATTGGAATATTAATTTATTTATTCGTTCATTGGGAGGGGGGAATCAATGCCAAATGATGAAAAAAGAGTATTAACTATCTACTTGGCGCGATGATTTGACGAATTACGAGAAAAATGTAATTTTTTGGTGTTCGTTAAAGATACCCAGTAACTGCCACTGTCCCGGTCTGCCACCCCCAGCGATTTTTTAATGGCTAGAATTTTGAATTTACTGAGAAAGAAAAAAAATGATCTTAGGGTTAAGGGAATTTTCTATTCCTTCAGTCAGACAAACACGATTGTAATTGCAGAATGGAACATGGCCTTCTCAAGTGATAGAAACTGGCACAGGGTAGCCGTTTTCTAGTTTAAAATAAAAATATTGATTATTAATTTATTAATAAAATAAACCATTTAAATATTAATTTATTTAATCATTTATTGGGGTGAAAATCAATGCCAAATGACGAAAAAAGAGTATTAACTATCTACTTGGGGTTATGATTTGACGAATTACGAGAAAAATGTAATTTTTTGGTATTCGTTAAAGATACCCAGTAACTGCCACTGTCCCGGTCTGCCACCCCCAGCGATTTTTTAATGACTAGAATTTTGAATTTACTGAGGAAGAAAAAAAATGATCTTAGGGTTAAGGGAATTTTCTATTCCTTCAGTCAGACAAAACACGATTGTAATCGCAGAATGGAATATGGCCTTGTCAAGTGGTAGAAACTGGCATATGGCAGCCGTTTTTTAGTTTAAAGTAAAAATATTAATTATTAATTTATGTAATCATTCATTGGGAGGGGGAATCAATCCCAAATAATGGAAAAGGATATTAACAATAAAAACGAGGAAGAAACCTCTGACTTATTGATAATCTAGGATAATAAGTGTAAAACAATGAGTACAAATCTTCTGTGAAAGCTCAAAGACTTGAGAAAACTTTATAAAACTAATTAAAATGAAAAAAAAACATTCTTAAATGGAGAACCACTTATCCACGGGGAGAAAAAATTTTCTTGCGGAGTATCGAACTTTTCTACTTACAGCAGAAGATTTCATATGGTTATGGGAAAAGTAAGGAGAGATAAGTAGAACCTGAAGAAGTGTCCTTCAAAGTTTCCGTTCGGGTCAGCGATTTTTCATGTGACGAACGCCACTTTTTCCTGCCTTTTTGACAATTTTCCATCTCAATCTTCTGGGAAATTAGTGCCCACATACTCCAGTTTACAGGAGGGTTTATTACCTTTTAGTCAGAATTCTATTCATTTTTTCAGAGAAATTTCTCACGGACAAAAAGTTCAATGCGTAAAACCATTGAGTGGATTTCGCAGAATACTGTGAATTTTATAATTTTTTTACTCTCTGTCCTGGCATTCCTTCCTTTTAATTGCTTTTTCCTATTGTAACTCTATAAGAATTCTATGAAAATTTACTGAATTTTTTTTTTATTCGTTTTCTAATAAATATTTCCTTAGAGAAAAAGGTGAATGATTGGGTCGATTTTTCCTAAATAACTCATTTTATCTAAATTTTTTCTATAATAATTCTCGGGCATGAATTTTCCAATTCTTTGCTTCGATATTGAAATGAAAAATGAACAAAAATTTAAGGAAAAAATTTATGCCTCAGAATTTCTATCGAAAAAAATCTCAAGAGAATAATCCATACAAGAAAATTAAACACTATCAAGTTGATCCCATCCAATACCTATCAAAAAATTGTAGAGCAAAATTAATAAATAGAATTTAAAAATAAAAATCTTATAAAATCTCAACAGAATTTTTGAGACAGTCCTAAGGTTTTCCATTAAATTATTTCAGATGTTTACAACACAACTATCACTCAGTTTATAATTTAGTCTGAATGTCAATTTAAAGGAAAAAATTTATGTCCCAGAATTTCTATAGAAAAAATCTCAAGAGAACAATTCATACAAGAAAATTAAATACTATCAAGTTGATCCCATCCAATACCTACAAAAAAATTGTAGAGCAAAATTAATAAATAGAATTTGAAAATAAAAATCTTATAAAATCTCAACAGAATTTTTGAGAGACAGTCCTAAGGTTTTCCATTAAATTATTTCAGATGTTTACAACACAACTATCACTCAGTTTATAATTTAGTCTGAATGTCAATTTAAAGGAAAAAATTTATGCCCCAGAATTTCTATAGAAAAAATCTCAAGAGAATAATTCATCCAAGAAAATTAAACACTATCAAGTTGATCCCATCCAATACCTACGAAAAAATTATAGAGCAAAATGAATAAATAGAATTTAAAAATAAAAATCTTACAAAATTCCAACAGAATATCTGAGAGGTTTGCCATTAAATTATTTTACATATTTGCAACTATCACTCAGTTCATAATTGACCGTGAATGTGATTTTCAGCCCGATCCAAAATGGGAATTCCCAAGATCTCAACTGACGATAGAACAAGTTCTCGGTGAAGGTGAATTCGGCAGAGTACTTCGTGCAAAAGCAGTAGATATTGGTGATTGGCCGGGTCACACAACAGTTGCAGTGAAAACCCTCAAGGAGGATGCCAGTGGTTCTGAACTTGCTGACCTTCTCTCTGAATACCAACTTCTCAAAGAAGCACAGCATCCAAACGTCATCCGCCTCCTGGGAGCTTGCACAACACCCGGTGGCCCAGTCTATCTCATCATCGAATTTGCGGAATTCGGCTCCTTGAGGTAACGAAGTGGAAGTGAATTGAATTCTTGCATGAATAGAGAGGAAATGTGAAATACGACGAAATAGTCGGTACTATGAATGTAAATGCTGGGTTATTCGACTTGGCCGGGTGAACGAGGCTCTCCGGTGACCAATATGAACATAAACACTACTCCCACACCAGACCCGGAAATTGCCGGCGTATTCCATGACCGCGAGGAACGCATACCACGAGAACAATAATCGTCTAGTCGTGTCCGACTATCGTAAAACTTTTGTAATTAAATTTTTCTTTTCCCGTTCTCTCCAGACGCTTTATTGGGATAACTGAAATTTTTTACGGCATTATAAGCTCTAGTGGATGAATAACAATGGCCATAAAGAAGTATTCGAGGTTCGCCGCGGAGAGAAAAACGAACAAGTTCTCAAACTAGTTTTGTTTGGACCAAAAATTCGCAATTTAAAAATTGGAAAAAAAATGATTCGATTTGAATTTCAAAAACGGCATCTAGCTCAAGAGGCGGATAATTCCAGCATTTTATCAAGAACTATTGATCATTATTATTTTATGGAAGAATTAACGATATCTAAGAATCTTTTACAATTTGGTACAGATATCACAATAGATTCAGCAATTTCAATCGTCACATTTGTCAATTAAATTGCGTGAGAAAAATTTGAAAAAAGTCATCATTCAGCGCCATCGAGGGGTTATTTACAGGCGAATTGGGTGACACCGCGATTACAAAATGTAATCGATTACCCAGGATTACGGGACTGATTACATTGATTACCACTGTCTATGTGATAATCGTGATTACCAAGAGCGCAGAATGTGATTACATTATTACAAATGATTTCGTCGATTACATTCGGTGATTACCAAACATCTGTAATCATTGAAATCACAAAAAATGGCCTCTTATTAAATATGAATTGATGGAATAATTAATTATTAGAACCTGCAAAGAAATGAGGAAGGAGGGGCGGGGATTACAACAGAGGAATGCAGTCTCCATCACTCGATCTAAAAATTTGGGCATTTATAAGTGCTATCAGCAAAATAAATTTACTGAATATCTACCATTGATGGAGAATGAAACTTACCAGCAGATAATTCAGAGATAATTCAGTCGTTGGTTCTCCAGAATAAGAAGAAATTTTAACTCTGTTGAATCAATTTTCTACGGACAAATGCTCTGTGCAAAACGCATTGGCTATGCAAGGTTCTGAACCATAAACATCTGGGATTCCAAGAAAAATTGATCCAGGGATCTCTGAGACTTACCGTTGGTAGAAATGTCGCGCTCGAAAATTCAAAAACAAAATTCACGGTCTCACTAGGAGCAACTGCGAAAGATTACACTGATTACCAATGATTACAGTGATTACAAATGATTACCACTTGATTACAAATATGGTAATCATGTGATTACAATGATTACAGGATTACTATTGATTTCACTGGGATTACAATTGATTACATGAGCGAGTGACACCACGATTACGCCTGTGAATAGGCCCTCGAGCTCCATTCAAATTACATTTTGCACAGAATTATTAATTTTCGGTGGAGCTAATTTTTTATAAAATCCTGAAAAATCTCACGGAGAGGATTACCATCTAACCACTCTCACATTAAAGAATTGCCGTTCCACACCGGAAATTTTCTCCCTCCGTGTTTGAAGAGAATTTATTTTGTTGACCTTTCCTCCAGAAATTATTTGCGGAGAAGCCGACATCTGGAGTCAGAGGGCCGAGTGCCGTGCTCCACATCGTTACTCTCCGCCTCTCCAGGTAACACCCGGGATGACGTGCAGGACGCGTCCGCAAATTACGAAATAACTCCCCACGATATTCTGTCATTCGCCTGGCAGATCAGCAAAGGCATGGCTTACCTCGCTGACATCAAGGTAAACTAATCACTTAATCCAGCCACTGGATAAGCTCTTGTTATAATTTCAATTATTTCAACAGCTCGTACATCGCGATCTCGCCGCACGAAATGTCCTTCTCGCTACTGGCAAGGTTTGCAAAATCTCCGATTTTGGGTTGACACGCGATGTCTACGAGGATGATGCCTATTTGAAGCGAAGTAAGGGTCGAGGTAAGGGACTTTATATTTCACACAAAAAAATATAAGGACAAATTATAGCATATCCATGGAAAACAGGTTTTTACGATTGTCTCTATTTTTCGTAGATAATGTTTATAATATTACCCAGCTATTGAAAAAAAATCCAACTCTTAAACTGTACACTGAAAACGAATAATTGGTGCAAAAAAAATTTTTTTTATTGTTCGTTTGCCTGAAAATGTTTAAAATGCGAAAAACAGTCTACGGCCTCTAATTTTTGAGCTACAAAAGATTTTTTTTTTAATTTTTGGAAAAATATGTGGAACAACAATTAGGAGCCAGTTTTTTGGAATTCGACTCCTACACAGTTGATTTCGGTTTTTTTCATATAAAAAAATTCACTAATTGTGTAAAAAAATACAAAAAAAGTAAATTTAGCCATATAAGAGGCGAATTAAATAAAAAACTAGTTCGTAATTGTTATTCCACATATTTTTTCGAAAATTTTGAAAAAAAATCCTTTGTAGCTCAAAAATTGGAGGCCCTGGACTGTTTTTGGCATTTTAAGCGTTTTCGGGCAAACGAACAATAAAAAAAAATTTTTTTTTGCACTAATTATTCGTCTTCAGATCGAATAATCGATCTTCAACGTATGAAATGTCTCACTCCAATAACTCACGACTTAAAAAATTAAAGTAGTCTCCCGGGTTAGTTTTTTTCATCGTTTATTCGGCGTACTATCCCCTCATTCCTCATCATATTTTTCTTTCTCCTCACAGTCCCAGTGAAGTGGATGGCGCCTGAATCACTAGCGGATCACGTGTACACGAGTAAATCAGACGTGTGGAGTTTTGGAGTGCTTCTATGGGAATTGGTAACCCTTGGGGCGTCCCCTTACCCTGGAGTTGATGTTCATAATCTGTATAATCTACTAAAAGCGGGATACCGCATGGAGAGACCAGCGAACTGTTCACCTCAGCTGTAAGAAACCATTCGTAATCTGAACATAAGCACAATGGATTCCATTCGCGCAATGGGAGTCGAGGATAATGACGGAAATATACCTTATTTTTTGCAGATATAAATTGATGGTGTCGTGTTGGCACGATGAAGCAGGAATGCGACCGTCGTTCAAAGAACTCACCTGTCAGTGGGAGCGTATGCTCGAAGATGGTGTTGAGTATCTTGACCTCAATCCACGAACTGTTCACAATCAGGCGTATTTTGCGTCACTCCATGCTCTGGACAGTCCGAGTAAGTTCTTAAAGAAGAAAATTTTATCACTATTTCATGTTTCAATTCGAGGAATTGTGCATGCGCGAGAAAATTTCATAGAAAAACCCAGTGAATTCGTTAGAAAATCTCATGATTTCTATTCAAAGTGTATTATTTTTCCGCAAATTCTGTTGATTCTATTGAATGTTCAATAAAGGATATTGTTGCGTGTTCCCATTTTCTTTTGAATGTACAAGCTGAAGTCTACACTGAGAGAAAAGCAAACACGTTGGCAAACAAGTCTTGTTTGGGCCAACAAAATTACTAGTTGCAAAGTAAGACCTGTTGGAGAGCTTTGTCGTTTTTCTTTCAGTGTATGATGAACGCAGATTACTTTTGTCTTTCGATTCTAAGTTCACTTGTTCTCGAGTCCTGTCATAACAACATCTCTTCGCTGTGTTGTGTTTCATTTATTAAGAAGAATTAACAATATTTTAGCGAAAATCAATCTTACTCTATCAATCTTACTCTATATAATTTGAGATGTCTGTTTCTCCCAAAATTCTTGGAATGTTCAAGAAATGTCGAGAAAGGTACAGAATCCTCTGGAATGTTCGCGAATCGTCTGGAAAACTACAATTTTCCGATGCAGAATGTTTCAGAAGACCCTAAAATGTTTTAGAAATCTTTAGGAATTTCGTGATTAATTCAGAAAGCTCATGCTTCGGAAAATCCTAGGCCCTAGAAAACTATAAAGAGCTCCAGACCGATACTGAAGTTTTTTGCAAGAGGGTTTTTACATTAATTTCGCCTGATTGCATCGTAAAATTACCGTAAAAATTTATAAAGACTTCATAATATTTCAGCATATTATAAACTTTTCTACATATAATTTTTCGGCAGAACTAATGTTTTCTCTTAGTGTACCGAATAAGAAACTAGAAAAGAAAGGAAGAAGAAGAAAACTATAAAGAAGCGCCTGATGACGTCTTCCCTGAAAGACAAAACGTTAGGCTGTCGCAAAGAATTCTTCAACTTCAACTTCATTTCTACTTATATAAAATTGATGCAGAGCGCTTAGGCCAACCTGTTGCCATCTGATTTTCGAACTAATTACAGCGGTCAAAAAAACCTATTCAGAAACCTAGAAAACTAACAGATTGCTCAATAGAAATTCAGCACAAATCCAACAGAATCTCCTACCGAATTAGCTAGGTTTTCCTATGAAACTGCTTGAAAAATCGAAGCGTAAAATTATCTAGAGCATGCAAATGATTTTCACCAAAGTGTTCCACAAAACACTGCAAAAATCGTTATTATTTCGTTACATTTCATTTGACACACAATTTACTACATTATAGATTCAAACAATGACGGAGTAGTGAGTGGTAATTTCAATGTCTTCCGTACAGAGGCTGTAAACTACCTCAGCAAGCCCTTGTCAGAGCCAATAAACAAGTGCGATAAGATCGACAAACTCCAGGCACTCTGGCAAGATCCGGTCTGTTCATTTCCGAATGGATCAGTGAAATCGACGTACGTCAATGACAGACCGGATAACTTGAATGTCAATCATTACGAGAGCCCTATCAGACTGAGGAAGGTTAGTGTTGTCAGTAACAGTGAGAATGATCTGAGAACATCGACCAGTGAGCGACCCCAGTCGTACATCGATATGCAGGGCAGAAAGTCAGATCAGGAGGATCTACTGCTTTTCAACGGCAGCGATCCGAATGATGATAAGGATGATGAGTCGAGGAAGGAACTCACCAAGTGATCTGAGTGATAATGCAGCGATACCAAAGACTTCTCTTTTGAGTGTACATATGATGTTGGGACAGTGTGCGGTGCCATATATGAACAATGCTGAATAGACGGCGATTTTCAGCTGGAATTGTTCGCTGATTTTATTTGTAAAAAATATCGTTATGTACTTAATGCATACGTAGCCTTAAATTCTCGATGAGGCATTGAGATCAACCTGTGTCGATTGGGAACATACGCTGAGAGAAAATAAAGATTTTCGGGGAGTAAAAAATTCTTGCCACAAACGTGTCTGAAGATTGAGGTAATCGGACCATTTTTGTGACAAAAATGGATAGTTTTGAGAAGAAATCGTGTGGATTGTCACAATTAACGATCAAGATTGTGAAAAATTATTTAATTTACAGTGTCCTCTGAGATACCCCAAGAGATTTTAGCTTCGGGGATTGGAATTTCATGGATTTGAATCGTGGGGAATGTTGTTATTCTTTCCTGGTTATATCCCTTTAAATAAAAAAGGAAAGTAGCAATTCTTCTCCGATTTTTATGTGAATAGGTTGTATTTAATTATACCCTCGAGGGGGAAGCACGATATAATTTTCGCTTTCTGATGACAGATTAAATTTGTTTATATGGGCGTTTGTGTGGATAGGTCTAAGTACCAGTAGATTTCCACGTGAACGAATGATAAGATCTCGATGTCTTTGATTCCAATTCGAATTCGTTTAAGTCTCCCTAACGCTCATAAGTTTTTTTTAGTAGTGGAACGTTGTTCAGGACATTTAAACGCTATAATCTTCTTCACTTCAGCGCTTTTTGTCCCATAATTAGTGATTCTGAGTGACGAATTTGCCCAGTTTATTGCGTTCAGAGCGGGAACAAACTCTCCCAAAAATATCAGGTAGAAGAGACTCCGCTACAACTGTTCAGAAGGAGAGTAATCGAGGGGAAGCCCCTACTGTCGGACTGACCAGTCCGTTCCTTTGGTTTGCCGAGGTGGGAGGTGTGGATGTGCGTGGGGGAACGCAGGGAACGGACTAGTCAGTTTGCTCCACTCGCAGTGGCCCTGCCGCGCATTTCTATCGCGCAGAGGAGCACACATTCTATACTTACACATGTTTAGATTATTACTGGTGGGGGAAGTTAACTTCTCCAACTGAAATCTTAGAGAAGCGAAACACAGGAAATATCCACTGTACGCAATTTTTGGATTCTTCATCATTGAAGATGAACTCAAATGACTTATTTGAAAAAGTATTTATTCTTGTCACAAGAATGGTCCAATTCCTCGCAATCTTCAAAACCTTTTCAGCATGCGATCGAGGAAAATATCGTAATAAGAATCGACTTGATCCTAGAAATCTGCTCTTTCTCTCAGTGTATAAACAAGTGCTATGCAATCAAATGTTTATGCTTCCTAAACTGAACAAAGTATATTTTGTTAATTTAAATATAGGCGGAAGCGGGGATTCGGCAAATATTTTAGGGCAGTTGTTTTATTTTTGGTTTCACAGTAAAACCATAACTGGAGATGTGAAGCGGTAATGATACGGGTAATTTACGGAACCGGTAATTTACACATCGATAAAATACCAAAATTGTGAATAATCAGTTTCACGTTGCAAATTATTGTAATTACCTATTTTTATTTCTGCACCATAAATTCACATTTATATAGAGCAATTTTCTTTTTAATTTACCATTAGTTTTTAGTAATTTTCATGATGAATTCCCTGGCCTTTCGAATTTTATATCAACTTAATATGATTATTATTATCAAAGAGTTGAAAGAATTCGATGAGCATTTCTTTTTGAATAATAATAATCTGAATGGGAAGATATGGATTATTGAAATGCAAAAAATATTTTAATATATTAAATGTAAATTAAAAGACATTTATATAGATGTGAATTGCAATATATTTGTCGGAAAAAATCTTGCGGTAATTCTGCATCAAAATAAAATGACAGTGACTCCTACGCAACAATACCGTAACATTACAGTATTTTTACAGAAAATTTACCAGAAATAAAATTACCGGTAATTTCACATCTCTAACCGTAACATTGAAGACTGTATTTTTTCGTACCTTACTTAGTGAAGATGATGAAGCTCCTCGCTTTATATTTGTATAAACCACACATTCCACAATTAGTCTTCTATTTATTCTGCTGAGGATATAATTTGAGTGTGTAAGCACAATGTGCAATTTTTAAGGGGGAAATGTGAATGATTGCATGTGTATCAAAGTGACTTTATTCTTGTGCCATGATGAGTTTTTCGTTTTAATAAAATTATGGAATACTCTACTTATGAAATGTGTTGATAATTCATTGGTGAAGGGAAAACGGGATGAACTATTGAGAGATGATTAACGCTGATGATCGGAATAGGCGCGGCAAGCGGCAAAGAAGTCTGAATGAAGTCTGAATGAACAATAAATTTGAGAATTTCTTTTTGGTGAAGACCTTCAATGACTCGCGCCGTCAGGGTAGAGCGACTTCAAGTGGCCACACGGAGACTGACGTCTTAAAGTACCTCTACCCTTGCGGTAAATTCAAAGATTATTGAAAACTGCAAAAAATTGTAGAAAACTCGATTAGATTCGAAATTCTAATTTTTTTCTCAATTTAATTATCGTTTTGGTTTTTCAAAGAAGAAATGTTTAAAAATCAGGATATAACCCGGTGTCTTATGTGAAAATCCACATTTCCATTGTAATCAAAGATTAAAATCTGGATTTTTTTCATTAGATGTGAAAAAATCAAGAATTTTTTTGAAACCTCATAAAAAATAATCCGTTTTGCAAACAAGTTTTATTATTTATTTATAAGAGGGAAATGTTTGAAAAAATATCAAAATTTTGCGAAATTTAATTTAGATAATATTGACTGGGTATGAATTTTCTCAATTTTTTTCCATGCAATTTAGTTGAAAAATTTAAAAACTGAAAATATCCAAAGTATAGCATAACCCGGCCGAAGGGTAGAGCTCTTTAAAAATCATTTTCTCCTGTTAGAGAACCACAATCACTTCCAATTTTGTTACTTCTTCCTATCAATAGTCAGAAAGAAAATCTAAGTGTAATTCTTGACATATGTTGTTCTCCCGTAGACTCTACACATGATAGAAAAGATGATTGATTTCTTCATTACATGCACCCTCCGATAAAGAAGAATTTACTTCCCTTCCAATTGCAGCAAATCGATGTGAAGGGAAAAAATATCCAGATTCCATTCTGAGGAAGAATACCTTGAATGTATATAAAAAATAGATAAGGCCTGGCGCCTGGAATAACGCTGGCAATTGTTAGCACTTCCACAACTGCTGAGTCCCTTTTTGAATACTCGATTCAACAATATAGTCTATTACTCTGATGTCTTACTCTATCATTATTACTATTCATAAATTTGTCGATTTTTTTCAATATTTTTATTCGTAAAGCCCCTCATAGTGATTAAAAATGAGACAATAGCGAGCTTATCTTTAATAAATCATCACCAGCAGTTGATTCACAATTTTATAATGAAGATTATCCATTGGTTGCCCTCCTCATACATACAATTACTTTTAGCATCACGCAACGGTCACCAAAAGAGTAAAAAATGAATACGACGCTCGCAGAATCTGAATGGCAATCAAGAAAATAGGATTAGTCTTTTTAAAAAAACGATTTTTCTTCTCCGATAGCCCCCATTTCTTCCCCGACATTTCTTCCTGAAAAAAGCATCCTAGCACGAATTTTTTCCTCTTCCATTTTCTTCCAATTTCGCCAATCAATGTCATTTACATAGAAAAAAAATTCAGTAGTAAATGGTCAAACGGTTTAAGTCGACTTAGCTCCCAGTTGAATTTTTGTTGAATTTTGTTTTCCCTTTTCTTTACAAAAAAGATCGTTAGGAAAATTTTGCTCTAAATCCTTTAGAATCTAACATTAACTCCTTTAGAATTTGAGATATTCATCGAGAACTGGTGCTATAATAGAATTGACTTAAACCGCTTAAAAAAAAAAAAAAAAAAAAAAAAAAAAAAAAAAAAAAAAAACGTTTATATTATTGGGGCGGACTACTGAATGATTCAGTATTGAATCTCCATTATTAATAATCCTCAGTGGGTGAGTAGAACATTACCAATAAACAAAATAAAATTCTCCTGCAACTATTGATAACAACGTTGAAAGGGATAGCCCCTCAAAGACTTCAATGAGAATGATTATATTGTAGATCTTATCCGTTTAAGCCACTTTATTTCTCTGTAAAGAGCATTGGAAGCGAACTTTTCTAGTAATGTTTAATCCACGCACACATCATGATTAAACGAAATTAAAAATTCTATACTCCTTTTTTCTATAAATAAAATTAATGAGGAGACATGAAAGGAAAATAAAAAGGGGAAAAAATTAGTGCTAGCATGAGTTTTCGAGGCATCGATTGGCATCAATCATTACTTTAGTAATATTATGAGAAGTTTCACCTGACACTAATTTAGATTTATTTATCATAATTGAAATTTGGACAATAATATAATAATTGGTAATTTAATTTCTCAATTATTGAATAATTCCGAAATAATTCGGAATTTAAAATTTAAATTCATGGTTATTTTTAAAATCAAACAATTGGTGAGTAATATTAACAATTGACATATTCCAAATTTCACCGTAATTAAAAAATTCTATTATGCCGATGTCTGTTGCGAGGAAGAAATATCGGGGAAAGAATGTGCGAGAAAGAAATGTTACGAGGAAAATTGGGGTGGGGGAGCG